TGAAAAAGCTACTAGATCATGAATGAGGAAGAAAATCTGAGAACTTTGCCAATATTTACATTGTTATTGTTTATCGCTCTATTCACTTCATCATACAGCTTTTTGACCACCGATTACGAAAAAATCCTTAAAGGCAGTCCCCTCACAAGGTGGGGGTTCAAGGAATTCAGTCCATGCAAAAGTGGCCCATTCGAACATCATCGCGCAGATTAAGTAAATTTTCTAGACATCGAACTCATGCCCTGATATTGCCTTTGAACTTCCACGTTCTTAGTTATTTACTCAGCATATTTTGACATGAGTGACTTAACAATTTTCCACAAACCCATGTCTTAAAATTTGACGCGATCATCTTCGGAAACTTCCAGAAGACTGATAAGTTAGCTATCCAAGGAAAAATCTTCAAGGTTTGTTCCTATACTTTTTGGAACGAAGGTATTTTCCTAACCTCCAAATCCTGCTCCTCCGCCGCCAGGTGGACCAAAACTCGATGGTGGATTTACAGGAGCAGATGGAAGCGCTTGGACCATCAGACCTGAATGGGAAAATTAGAAGATGTTTGACGCGTGGACCTTGATTGAACAGAATTCGACCCGTGATGATTATTGAGACTCCTGCACACGAAACAAAAAGATTGTTCGGAATACCAGTAAGTAAAAATCTATCCTCTCCCTCTTACTTTCATTCTATAATCTTCCATAACTGCTATAAACCTCACCGGAATCCTCGAAAAACGACGTCTTAACCTCCGATCGACCCCTTTCAAAACCAGTTTTATCGGGTCCTATAAACCATAACTATACGTTTAGTTGTAGTAGCGAGTAAAACAACTTACCTTGTGGTAGCGCTTGCTTTGTAGTCGTAGAAGGTAGGGTAGACGTTGTGGGTGAAATGATAACCGGAGCTAAAGTCTCAGCACTGATGGTGGGAGGGTAATAAGGTGTATTGGCCGTTTGAGGTGATGAGCTGTCCACCTTGAACAATGGCACTGCGGTGTTCACCAGGGGTGCTCCTAAAATCAAAAAAATCAGCTTTAGAGCTATTGGCAAAACCCTCCTGTTCAACAAACTTCTAAGATCCTCGCCTTGAATTCGAGGAATCAAAGGTGGCGGTGGAGGTGGTGGTGGTAGCGGCCCTTTATACCCAGGCGGTGGAGCGATGAAGTATGGTGGTAACGTAATCTGAGGGGTTGGTAACGTCGCCTGTGAGTTCATGGCAGCTTCAGCTGCTTGTTGAGCTAGGGGGATTGATGCTACTCTCGTGAAAGCTTGTGGATAACTTGGTTTCGGTGTCGGTACAGTCAACTGTTGTGATGGAGAAAGGACAATTTCTTGAAGTGGAACGGCATTGCCCTGAAGCCTAATTTTCTGGGAATTGTGGAGCAAGGAGAGTGGTATGGGACTTACGTTGTTTTCCATGCTGGACTGGTACTTTAATGACTCCTTCACTTGCTCAATTTTAGCTGCGAAGGCTCTTTGTTCCTCCTAAACAGTTTTTATTTGGAAGCACATGGTACACATTGAAAGATCTCACAGGATTTCACACTTCTGCGGCTTGGTTTTTAGAAGAAAGACCTAACATTCAAACTGTAAGGCGCCTGTACCTCTTCATAACTTGAAAGCTCTAATCG